TTATTACCTTTAGTTATAAAATTTAGACATGTTTAATTTTTTTTAATGTGAACTAAAGTTAATCAGTATCTCAGGCCTTCTTTAAACAAAAATTGAACAGCCTAAGGCATTCCCATATCCTTTTATTGCCATTCCCCACCACAACCCATTTCATTTGCTCAAGTTTTTCCTATTTGCTGTTTCTTTCTTAATCTTACTTTTTCCCTTCTAGTCTCCACAATGTCTTTATCTTACTGTTTCCCTTCTAGTCCAGTTTTCTAAAAATAACATTAACTTCTATTCTGTATTTCTCATTTATCCCTTAAAATCTACCATAATCTAGTTATCATTTTCATTATGCTACCAAAATTGGCTTTAACAAAGTCATCAATTACCTGCATGCCCAACCCAGTGATCTTTTTGGTAATCATCATCCTAACCAAAATACACCTCAGTATTTTTCACTGTTACTCACTGGAGACAAAATTATAGGCATAAGCACAATTTCTCAGGAAGATATCTTAGTTATAGACATTCAATTTTGGATTACATACAAGATTACTGTAAATTATCTATATATCCATATATATATATATCATAAAAATGGAAAGACTGAGAGTATCAGGAAGAAGGTACAATAAGAGACTGCGAGAATGGAACTCTAGAGAACACCAACATTTAAAGCAAGTATAGAAAAGAAAACTTATAAAAACTAGAGGATAAAGCACCCTTGAGCTTTAGAAGGATCATGTGGAATGAGTAGTACTCAAGGAACCTTTCTGTAAAGGGAAGAATTTTCAAATTCATAAAGGAATAGCTTACAAGCTTCTTGACAGTTTGTCTTTATCTAGCAAATAATTAAATAAACTACTGATAAACTTGAATCCTCCCATTAATATGAAACAAGTAGTATTCTCCCCTAATTTTACTATTAATTATAGTTTAATTTACTGTTGTGTCATAGAAGCTTCAATGTTTCAATTAATGAAATCTGATTAACTTTTTTAAAGGGTTTAAAATGCATTTAAAGTATTATAAAAACTATGATTAAAGAGTTCTTAAATTCTTAAAAAGCTTTAAATTGTTTCCTGAAGAGTATGATTTACTTTAAAATCATTCTGAACTCAATTATGTGTTCATACAGCTATTTTATTGCTCTTGTACCTTTTTCTCCCCAAAAAGAAATTGTAACAGACTCAATTACTAGGCACCCCTTAGTGGCAGGAAAATTAAGGTTTCTGTTTTGGTTTGGGTTTTTTTTAAGACAGGGTCTCACTATGTAGTTTAGGCTAGCTTTGCACTCAGAGGCTTCAAACTTGTGGCAGTTCTCCTGCTTCAGCATCTCGAATGCTGGAATTAAAGGCATGTACCACCGTGCTCAGAAAATTGGTTTCTCGTTGAAGGTACAGTTTTGTATATCTGTAATTTGCAACAAAACTTGAGAAGATGGTTGGTCAGTAGAAAATTTAAGAGTATGTTAGTTTATATCTGTTTTATTATAATGGACTGCAAGTGAATTCACACACTGAAGTTTCATAAATATTCTTTAGAACTAAAATAAGTGAAATAATAAGCAAATGCCCTTCAGAGGATATATGACAATAAATTACAAGATTTTTAAAAACAAACCTCATTTTAGAAGGCAGTCTCTAAAAATAATTTGCCTTTGAGACACAGCTTTGCATATTCTGGCAGTGGTCTGAAAGCTCTAATAGATGGAGCAGTCTTCTGGGTCAGAAGCATTTACTACTGATCTCAATCAATCCACATAAATTTGCTAAGCATTTCAAACTTTTTTTTTTTTTGCATTTCAATCTTCTTAACTATTCTAAACACCTCATTTTTCTTATCTATAAAATAAAAGCATTAAAATAAGCCTGTATCTTTGCAGAGATGTAAGAATCAAGTGAATTTTAAAGGAATTACTATAGTATACATAATTCATTTAAATTATGCTTTCACATGTAATATACTATAGCTTACTGGATTGTGTAGAAATGGAAGTGATGCTTCTCATTTTACTAAAATCTAAAGCCTCAGCCAAGCTCTCAATAGAATCCCGGATTTTTATCATTGGAGTTTGATGTATTTTTGGGGGAGAGATGAATTACAGTCATATTACTTTCTAATTTTATCATAATACATTTTTAAAAGGTGACACACAATGCTAATGCTATTTAGATTCTTTAGAGAAGATCAGTATTTTATATGTTAAGAAAAAAAACAAGATCTAATGTCTGCCATTCCACTGAAGTTGGAATGGTAAAATCTAGCAGAAGTACTCAGCACTGTAATTAAGGGTATTATCCAACTAACTGCCTTCCCTCTTCTAACATTAACTGAACTCATTTCAGAGAAAAATATTTTAAAAATCAATTAAATAAACCAATCACCTAAATAAAATATACTTATTTTTTAAAATTTCAAAATTTCAGTTCTGAGATGAAGAGAGGGAAATAACATATATACAAATTTTCCAATTTTTCTCTATTCATTTTAGAACTGTACTATTCATATGCCAATGCCCAAGAACCAGAATTACATTTTATTTTTTCCTTTGAAGACTGCAAATTAGGTAACAAGTTACAAATAAAGTTTTTAAGAATTCATCAATTATAACAAGATTCTGAAAAACAAACCAATTTGATTCATTATAGAGACTAAAACAAGATTACTTCTGAATTATTTTAGTAATGTGTCACATAACTTTCACTAGGAAATTTTTTTGTACTCCACTAGTTTAAGAATTCAACAGTTATTTTTATTTAGTGAAAACACTAAATAAAATGAAAATCACAAGTTAAAAACAATTATCACCATTAGCTTTTAAGTTTCCACATGGCCTTAAAAAAAATTGTTTCCATTAAAGGCTGAGGACATAGTTTAGTGATAGATTGCTGGCCTGACATGCACAAGGCATTGAGTTCAATTCCTGCATCAGTCAATCAATCAATCAATCAATCAATCAAGTTGTTTCCATGAAATAAGCATTAAAGATGTGTGTTATAAAAAGTAATCTTTATTTTTACAAAAACATATAATAGATAAACATACAACAACAACAACAAAAAACCCTGATATTTTAGTTAGATTTTTAGAAAATGTGTACTAACTTGACTTTTATATCAGGAATCTCCACAGGCCCCACCTCACACTGCATTTTCCGTTTGACCGTTAATTTTTTTCTTTCTTATTGCCCCAACACAAGAAAACAATGTTATTATAATTTGCTAAAAAAAAAAAAAAATCCACAAAGCCAACTAAATGGATTTTTAAGTATTTTTCTTTAAATTCTCATTCTCCTTTAAACCCTGCTACTGCAGCAACTCTGTCTCTACACCTACTCGTCCAGGGACTGAATGACTGGCAAACAGAGATCAGCCACATAGCGATGAAAAACATTTCCATTAGTCCAGGAAGACATTTTAATAAGTCCATTTAATCATACTACTGGAAAGCACTAGATTACAGTGATTTCTCCTGTCTGCTTTTAATTATATTACATGGATTACATATTGTATGACAGTGATTACACTTTGTTAACTAAACTACAAAATAATGTTTTATCTGACTAGATACAGAATCATACCTATGACTGTCTAATGTAATCTCACCTGATGATTATATCAACATTACTATAAACAAAAGGACTACAAGTACTACAAGCCTGTAGCTTTTATTTTTGTAACACTGTACAAATTCCAGGTCCCATTAATATATTATCTAAATATATAAAATAGAGAGCAACATATAAACTCTTTAAAGTCTTAAGACAAAACAAACTAACAGCCTACAAATACAATTACATCAGATTTAATGTTCCTGATTAGGATTTCTACTATGGTAAAAACATACGCAAAAAAATTAAAGTATTTTGACAGGTATCTGGGAGAAGAGCTTAGGAATAAAGTTTAGAAACAAAGTTTAGGGTTATGAATATCTGCTTAAAAATAAAACAAAAACACCAAATTGCATTAAGAGAAAAATGTGTATAAAAACCATGAAAATCAAAAAGTAATTTACACATAGTTCTGAGATAATACTGTATAAAAAGATTACCAAAAATTATCTTATCATTAGCATAATCAGTTACTATAGATCATTTGTTTCATATCAATAATAAACTTAATATACAGTAAATATTAAAATCAGCCAGACATAGTATTCTATGCTGTAAAACAAACTACACAGAAGGCTGAGGCAGGAGGATTGCAAGCTTGAGGCCATCATGGGCAATGTAGAGAAATCCTGTATCAAATATAAAATAAAAAAAAAAATTTTAAGGGTTGAAAGTATAGCTAAGTGTTCCTTGGGTTCAATATCTAGCATGGCAAAATAAAATAAAACCATTCAATTATTCTATAAATATAACTGGTCCCACTGTGACAACTGAAACAAGCAACAAAAATCTTTATTTCAAATAGAGAAAATCTTTTTCCCTCAAATGCTAGGGATTGAACCCAAGCTTTGCACAGGCAAGGCAAGCAAACCCTCTACTACTGAGCCACAACCCAACCAAGAATAAAACTTTTTAATGTTATTTCACAGAGCTTACTGAAAGTTTCCCCAGAGATATGCCTTCTTTAGCAATGAGAACCTGAGGTTCATTACTCTTTATCTTATCTCTATTCTAATCTTTTCCCTCCAATCAAAGGGCCATTTGAGTATTTTTAATATACTAATAGTATTTTGCTAAAGATTGGCTTTAAATTAAGCTGGGCATAGTGGCACAATCCTGTAATCCCAGCACTTGGAAGGCTGAGGCAGGAGGATAGTCATGAGTTAGAAGCCAGTCTAGGCTACGTAAATGAGTTCAAGGCCAGCCTGTAATATATGGTGAGACCCTGTATTTAAAAAAAAAAATTATTCAGCCCAATAGTTTGAAAATTAAAGTACTTAATAGTTGCTGGTAAGTTAAGCCTTTCATGAGATTTTTGTTTGATTTAATTTTTATGTTTACATACAGTTTAAAAGCAACAAACTTTTCAACTCAAGATTCCCAGAAAATGCAAAGACCTTACCCAGCATGACTAGATGATGAAGGTGGTGGCAAATCTGGTGTAAGAACATAAAGACTGTTGTTTTTTGGCAAGTGTAGCGATTTTAAGACCGTCTGAAAAAGGAAAAGAAAACATAAGATTTTTAATAGTTCTAGAAAAACTAGCATATTTGTAGTTTGTGTTTGGGGAGAGATTTATCAGGAATTAAACTCAGGACCTCATGCTTGTCAAGTAGGTACTGAGCCACTGTGCAATACCCCCAGCCCCTAATTAGCAGTTTCATTTTTCATTTTTCAGTAATTTCCTAACTGCATGAGAATTCTCTAAAAACATAAATTGCTGAACCCAAATAACTTTGCTTTACATATATATATTACAAATTAGTACAGATCTGAAGATTAAAATATTATTTCTTTAGCTCAAGAACAGATACAAGCAGACAACACATTTGGGTATCATTAATTTCTTCATTGAAAGTATATTCTTGGAAGTAAAGTAACAGGTACTTCATTCCAGAATATTACAGTAAAATTTAGCAATGCAAGTTTTTAGAAATCATTAGAGCTAAAAAACATCTTAGCAAGCATGGCTAGCCAATTATTTTATTGATGAGCAGCTGCAGCCTGACAGGTTACATAACTTGGATATGGTCTCCTGGAAATTTTATTTTTACTTTATCATTTCTGTTAAAGTTCTGTTTATCATGAGTAAACTACCACTGGGGTTACATCTGATTTTCTATCTTGATAACTACAAACAAATTCACTAAATTTCTTTGCCACAAGACTCTTATACATTGTAAATACTTCCAGAAGTACTTTTTCAGACAGCAATATACATTAGAAAATAGGTTTTACATCATTACATTATGACTGAGGACATATACTTATTCAACTGACTATTTTATCTTTCAATGGTACTAAGTGATTAATCCTACACTGAGCTATATGCACACCCTTTTTTTGGGTAGGGGAACAGGGATTTTCAGGGTCTCCCTAAATCATCCAGGTTAGGCTTGAACTTGGAATCCTCCCACCTCAGCCTCACAGAGTGCTGGGATTATAGGCATGTGTTATCACACCCACCTTCAAGAGGTATTTATTAATTTCTTGGTTTTCTGACACAAGGTCTTCCCACATAGTTCGGCTAGTCTCAAACTTGCAGTGATCTTCTTGCTTTAGCCTGCTTCAGGGCTGGGATTATAAGTGTTCAACACCATACCCAGCTTGAAGCTTACATTTTAGAAGAATAAGCAATGTAAGTAACCTATGTTGTTGAATATTAGTTTTTGTTTGTTCGCTTTCCTTTCATTTTTAAAGAAGGAGCAGGAGAAGGGGATGAGGAATATGAGGTAGGGGAGTTTTGCAACTTCAAAATGAGTGATCAGGATAGATCTCAAAGAATGTGACATTTAAGCAAAGAATTGAAGGGTAGGAAGGAAACAAAGCATGATAATATAGATACAAAGATGATTTCAGGCAAAGGAAAACAGTCAGTAGGAAATGTTTAGCAACAAGAAGGAATCCCATGTAAATAAAGCCAAATAAATACTGGTAGGAGATGGGTCACAAAGGTAACAGCCATGGCAGTGACAGAAAATGTACTGAGGTATTAATGGTTTTTACTTTAACTCTTGACAAAAGCTACTGGAGTAACATGATTGGATTTATGCTTCAAATGGATTGCAATGACAGACAGCACTGTTGAGAGTGGAAGGGAAAGGGGTTGACAGAGGAAGGCATGACACAGCAGGTCAATGAAATATAAATAAAGTTGTGATAGTGTGATGGTTAACAGAAATGGTGTAAAGTAATTGGATTCCGGATTAATTTTGAAGATAGCACTAAATCCATTTCCAGGAAGGAAGGAAGGAGACAGGGAGAAAGAGAGAGAGAGAGAGAGAGAGAGAGAGAGAGAGAGAGAGAGAGACACTACATATGAGAGAAAGATGTCAATAATGATCCTAAAGATTTTAGACTTAATGACTACAAAGATGAAACTGCCATCAACTGATATTAAACTAGAGATTAAAACTTTCATTTTGGAAATGTTAAGTGTGAAATGTTTAATAGACATTCAAGTGGAGAAGATAAGTAAACAGCAGGATACAGAAACCTGCAATTCAAAAAGCAAGTTTAGAAAGGGGATGTAAATAATAGATATAAAATTTTGAGTGCATACAAATGATAACTGAAAGACTTGAAATAGGACAAGATAACCACTGAATTTATTAATGCAGTCAATGGTGATTTTAACAAGAACAGTAGTACATTTCTGCTCCGATTGGGCTCAAAAGAAATGGGAAGGCAGAGATTAGAAATAACAAAACCAACTCTTTAGAAGTTCTGTTATATAAGAGTCTATAGAAATGGAATCATCCCTAGAAGCAGGTAGAGAATCTAGATTTTTTTCTCTCAAAGAAATGGCACTGTATTTGAATGCTATCAGTAAATTGTTAAGTAAAGAAAATAATGATATAGGACAGAAGAGAATTAGTGTGTCCCTGAATAGGGCAGAGGAAACACAGAGTATCATCTAAAGCAAAGTGAAAGTCTGATTTCAGGAGCCTGAATAGCACACACAAAAAAGGGGAATATGTGGGTAAGATAAAAGCAAGTAACAAAGAGAGATTTGGGAGTTTGTGGAAATTCTTTTGTGATTACCTCTGTGAATGAAACCATACAGGAAAGAACAAAGCCGTCAGTTAGCAAATGGAGAAGTGGGATTTTGAAAATCTGAGGAAAGAATAACTATTTAGGAGAATACAGATAAACCAGAAAGATACACTATACTGCCTCATAAGAGTAAGAGGTTCTCAGAAGATCATGGTCATACATTTAAAGTTATACCAATCAGCACGATTTTGTTTATCTCACAATATTCTGTTATAAGGCACAGAACAGACAAGAGATTTGGATTTAATCCAGTTCTGGATTTAATGCAGGAAGTTGAAATTATACACAGGATAATGATTACAGTAACTAGTGATGAAATTTAACCTACTAGAGACAGGAAGGATGTCATAAAGGTAATTATAATGTTTGGAGCCAAAATACTAAAAGAAATAACTCAAAAAGATAAAAGGTTAACAAAGAAAGAAAATGGGGAATTTGGATCAAGTTGAAAGTTATTATAATTATTAATAAATGATAAGATTATAGGTCTGATCTTGGAAGGGAGTTACTGAAGTAACTAACAGGTTGAAATATTGGAAGACTTACTTACAAAGATATTAAAATTATTAAGAAACAGATCAACTGCAAGCCAGGAAATATAAGTAATTAGGAAATGAATAACTAACTTTAGTAAGTGATGTAATATTTTGACATTAAGCTTAAAACTGAAAGAATTCTAGAGAGGAAGGATGAATACAGACCTAGAATTAGAAACGAGGAACAGTGAGGATATGTATTTTACCACTTATTCCAGTGACACAAGGGCTACTGGGAAATAAATAAACTAACACTAAGAAAGGTACCAAGAAACAATGTCCTTAAGAAGACAGATTTCAGTTGGTAAAGTAAGGGCAAAAAGTTGATGATAGAATTTTGCTAAGGATGAATTACTTCAACAGGAAAAAGGTTTAAGGCACTGTACACAAAAGAGTAAAAAGACAGGAATGGGATGTACAGAGACCATAATGATTGAATGAGTGGAGACCTAGAAATCTTAAACTACTTGGACTGATTGGCACAAACATGGAGTAAAGGTGTAATGAAATTAATTCTGATTGAATGAAAGCAAATAACGGAAGACTAAAGGTGTTAGAAAGGAAAGAACAGATGTTTAGAATCTTTCTTAATTCTGCAGATGGAGGCAAGGACTACTAGAGAACAGTGATGTTACTCAAGGAGGGAACATGAGGAACTTGCTACTTTTGACCCCTCTATGTAAGACCACATCCTACCAAGTATACAGTCTTACTTCAAGGGCACTGAATCCAGCTCTGAACTCATATGTTACTTGTATGTTAAATAAAAAGAAATACCATTTAAAACTTACAGTACAGTCCAATATTTTATATTCTACTCTATTTTTCTTTCTCCTTTATTTAAAATACTGGTTGTAAACAGACAAGTCAACTTCAGAATTTACTAAGGGATCATGGCCCATGGTTTGAAAACACATGGTATCGGGTAATTACCTATATTTCACAATCTACCAAGAAATCCTTCGTTCTTGAAATTTTTTGCCAAATACTCAATGTCCTTTGGAAAGTGAAGAATTATCTCTACAGGGTTAGCATACAAACAAAACACACACATATACATATACATATACATATACATATACATATACATATACATATACGAAAGTTATTTATTCTTTACTTTGTGGATTATGGATAAATGCTTACTCAGTCTTAGTACTTGATCAGGACATGACTGTCCTACTATACCTATTCTGCTTTATCTGTTATATCTATTGTTAGACTTGTTTTATTAATTTTCCAAAGATTTTAAATTTATCCCACTAAACCACACTGGCATGATTAAAGAAAACAAACACTTGATCAAGGACATTTATTCATACATCCATTCCATAAAAATTTATCTTATGCCTTTTATGCAAGGCATTGGACATATGACGAAAGCAATAGACATGTTATCTCTGTTTATAAAGTTGTGATGAAGAATGCTGAGATAGGAGCCAAAATAGGTACTGAGGTCTCCTAAAAAAAAGGTTAACATTAAGCAGAGACTTAAAGGATTAAAAAGAGACACCAAAGTGAAGAATTGGAGATAATACATTCTAGGTAGGACTTCCAGGAGAACATGGTGGACAGATAGCAGCAGCTTCGGAGGCTCTCTGAAAATCCGCACTTAAAATCCAGGAATGGTGTCGGGCGAGAAGTCCTCAGCAAGGGGAGATATATTTTGCCGACCCAGGAATGAACTAAACTAAGAGAAACCAACTGGAAACGCAATCCCATGATATAACAGTAACAGATAAGGTCTCAGAGTGGAAGCTGGAGCCCATGCCACTGGAAGCCGCGATTGGAATTTCCTACCGCCGCTGTTGTGTCCCAATCCACACAGCAAGGCGAGAGGCGCGAAAGTTCTGAGAGTGGGAAGCGGTGAATGGAGTTGAGAGCGGGAAGCGGTGAATGGAG